TAATATATGTATATCAAAATCACAAATTAAATGAAAGACAGCAGAGAGAAGAAAAAACTTATATCTGCCCCTTTTTTCCAGAATAAGTTCATATAACAAAATAATCTGTTATTAAAACAAAAAAAAAGAACATCTAATCCCTCCAGAGATACATTTTATACTGTTTCATATTTAACAATCCAGCTTTTATCATTTTCTTAAATGTACATAATGATCCTGTGTTTTTACATCACTCCCCAAATTACTCCATAGTTTTATTCCTTGAATTAAAGTTCACCGTTCCTTCAAACTAGTTGGGTTTTACAAATATCTCTGTCCCTTTAAGGTTATAACGACTCTTTCTCTTAAATTTTTTCTCTTTCTCATTTTTCTGTGTAAATCTTAATGTGACGTGTAACAGATACAGAGCAGAGAGGATCTGGGTTTTTATCAGGACCTGGGTCTCAGAAGCCACTTTCTGAAATAGTGATTGTGTTATTTGTGTTATTTCACATGCTTAGTCTAAGTTGTGTTGGCCACAGGTTGCTGGGAATAGATGAGTGGCAGAACACTGGTTTCCAGTACGACGTGATCAGCTGTTTGAACCTGTTGGACCGCTGCGATGATCCTCTGCACCTCCTGCAGGACATTAAGAGATCCTTAGTCCCGAAGACGGGGAGGCTGGTCCTGGCTGCTGTGCTTCCCTTCCAGCCATGGGTGGAAATCGGTCAGCAGAGAGCACAGCACAGGTTTTATAAACGTCTGCAGTCCACTTCACAGCTGTCTTTGTTTCTGCAGGAGGAAGATGGGAGCGTCCAAAAACACATCTAAAAGTCTCAGGGAACACGTGGGAGGAGCAAGTGACCTCCATGTCCAACAATGTTTTCCACCGGGTCGGCTTCCAGGTGGAGGCTGTGACCCGTTTGCCATACCTGTGTGAAGGAGACATGTATAACGATTATTATGTTCTTGATGATGCTGTTTTTGTTCTCAAGGCCTCTGATGAAGAGGRCGGTTCAGCTCCGTAAGTCTGGAGTGTCTCTGGATTCCTCCAAGGTGGTTGGTTGATGCATCACTTCTAAAGGTCTGACTTGTTTAGAAATGGTGACTCGGGTATTAAGGTCGTGTACTGTAGTTTGAATATTTTTGAATGTTTTGTATCTTTTATTACCTCCGTTTTTTTATGAAAAAATGTAATGAGAAAGGTGAAACTGACTGGTGCTTTTAAAATTTGCCACTAACTATTGTATGAAAACCCTYACTTGTGTTTACTGTGTGAATTTAACTGGTGAGATTATCTTTATTGATGAAAGTAAAACTTACCGTATTTATTCAAGTATAATACGTAAAATTTAATCCATAAAATCATCCATAAAGTTGGGGGGTAGTATTATAGTCAGATAAATATTTTTACTTATGTATTTTAACTGAAATATCTGCTTCATTCACAAAATGCCTGAGTCCTGAAATGAGACCACGACATAAAAAACAGTTGAAGCGAGCTCACCTCTGATACTCCTCTGTGCTTCAGAGTGAGATAATAACAGATCCAGGCAGGAGACATGATGTGRAAAAAAGGGGAAAGTATTCCTGCACCTTAGTAATGATAACAAACTAAAGACATTAGTGTGTGACCGAGCTGCTCCTCGAACAACAACAAACACATGTTCATCTGTAATGGCTGC